TGTTTTTACGGACCTGGCCTGAACCGGATGTAAACAGGCGCCCATTTGTAGAGATCCAGCTGCCCATAGACTAACATTGGCCTTCTGATAAGATTCGCCTGCGGTCCTTAGCAGAAATATATAAGTAGTATCATTATTATTATTATTGTTATAATTTTTATTATACAGGATTTATATAGTGCCAACAGTTTGGGCAGCGCTTTACAATATAAGGAAGATATTACCATTACAATACAATTCAATATGCATACTAATATATATATGTTATGAAACATTCTCTTTGCTCATGTGTTTAAAATAAAAGTGTTTTTTTTAATGAATTCTGGTAAACTGATTTTTTTGTTTGAAATGAACAGATGCTCACAGACCCAGCCTAGAATTTTTCCTCTGGCCTACTTTAACCACACGGTGAGCCATGACTACATTCAGCCAGCAGGTGGCGCTCTGTAGCAGCGCTGGGATCAGAGACTTCTACTAACCAGGAAAGTAGAAATATCTTTACTTCCCCACCCCCACTAGGGTTGCCACCTTTTCTTCCATCGAAACCCGAACACTCTAGCGACACACGGACATTTTCTTGGAAGAATGAGTTGTGGCTTTTTCATATGTAAATATCGCCACCCCTTCATATGTAAATATCACAGTCGAGAGTATTTTCAGTGGGGGGCCAGTAGCCCCTATCTTAATTTTGGTTTCTCCTGTGTGCCTGACATCATGTGTCCGGGTTTCTGCTGCCATGAAACCCGAACACAGCATTCAAAACCCGAACTGTCCGGGTGAATCCTGGACAGGTGGCAACCCTAACCCCCACATTGCCTTTTTTTCCCAAAATCATATACACTGATTTATAAAATGTTAATACAACTTTACCAGGTTAGGAGATTCAGTGAATCTGGAAAAAAAAAAAATATCATTGCTGTGAACTTACATGGCAATGCACATGTGGGATATAGCAAGCATCATATTATTGCGAGTCAGTCTGTGCAGTTATCGTACGGTAAGCCCTCGTTGTGAGTGGTATTGGCACTGCCCTACATGGAGGCACGTGGTGTCTGGATATTCACACCAGTTAGCAGTCACAAGAGGAAGAGATGACATCTGCCATATTTGTAATATTGTATCAAATATAGGAAATTCATATCTACAATGTATTAACAATATAATCCAGCTGTACATCTTCCATATAAACAGCAAAGTCTGGTGATTTCAGCCAAATCAGTTATTTATTGCCAGGTCTGTGGAAGGGTTTTAAGGAGAACTATGAGGTGAGTGCTTTTCACTCACCTCATAGTTCTAGCCGACCTGTGACAATGAGACTGTGACAGGTCGGCTCAGTAGATCGGGAGGTGAGCAAACACATACCGGGTTCGCTCGCCTCTCGATCCTGTCACAACTCTCTGCCGTGACAGGGGAGGGGCTTGATTCCCCCCTCCCCGCTCCAATCCGCCAGCGCTGACTGGCGGAACGGACGGGGGAGGGGGCGGGTACAGCTGGCTCTGCCTCTAGATAGGCAGAGCCAGCTGTCAGTCACGCAGCTGGGAGGATCCCGGCATAATTGTTGGGATCCGCTTCAGCTGCGGCTACACCTCACAGTATACTGAGCCTAGTGTGACGGGAGGACGCTAGTTTGTGTCCTCCCGTTACCCTAAGGAGAACTATGGGGAAAAGCCTTAACCCCATAGTTCTCCTTTAAAGCCCATGCACACTCCCAATAATGTACATCTTTGGATCTGTATGTGTACATCTATTTGTTCAGTTCTTGTTGTAACTTCAGGCTGCTTGAAATTGCCAAAAATGTGCTGCCAGAAACATTCCTATGTATACTACAGGCAGCTTATGCCAGCCATACAACGGAACATTGTATACTTACCTATCAGTCATTTTCCTTTCCTGACGCCAATACATAGCAGCATACAGGGGGTATGGCTCTGCCCCCAGCCCATTGTATGCTGCCATGGATTGGCGTCAGGAAACTGACATTTTTCTAGCACTCCTAAGATCACCATTACACATTACAATCTGACCAGACAATCTCTGTACAATCGACTTTAGATCTACCAAAATTATGTAATGTGAGAGCCAATCTAATCTTTCCAATCAGTTTATATCCAAACCAGGCTCTTGAAGAAATACTTGTTGGTAGATCTAAAGGAGATTGTACAATTAGACTGTAACATGTGTGGTTAGCTTTAAAGAGCTTTTAATTGCAAGAATGACCAAACAAACTAAAGGTGCCCATACACCTTACAACCATCGCAAGACTTTTATCTTGCGATGGTTGTAAGGTAATTAAAAAAACGTACGATCTGCCCATCTTGGACAGGCAGATTGTACCTGCAATCATCGCAAGCCCTCCCCGCTGAGGGGCGGGCTTCCGATTACTGCAAATCTGAACGGGCAATGTGCGCTTGCGCACACCGGCCCGTGCGGCATTTGTCTTACGAGCACGCCACAAACCCGCCAACAATCGTAAGATTCTCAACGGGTTTTCGAGCCTGCTCGTAAGACAAAAGACGTTCGACTGTACAGTAGAAATGGTCGCTCGCCTTCCATACACCTGCCGATTATCGTACGATGGCGGATGGATGATAATTGGCAGGTGTATGGGCACCTTAAGGCAAACTGCCACCAGGAGCTTCTATCGAAACTGTGGTAGCATCAAAACGGTTTGTATTGAACTGGTCATAGACAATACAATTTGATTGTAGAATCTTTAGATTTACTAAACCTATGTAATGAAGGGCCTACCTAAGAAATCTCTTCGCGATTCGCAGTAAAAAACGCGCGTCAAACGCATGTTTCCGAGGGCTACTTGGCTGTATCCTAATGGAAACGCGCAACAAAAACGCCCCAAAGAAGCTCCTGTACTTCTTTGGGCGTAGGACGTTTTGTAGCGCATTCATACGGCCTGTAATACGCCCAGGTGTGAACCATACCCATAGGAAATAATGGGATTTCGGTGTTTGAGTGTTTTGCAGAGCGTACGAACGTGCTACAAAACGCCCAGGTGTGAACTGCCCAGGTTGCTAGAGGTTCCTTTAATTAACAATTTCTGAATCTCAGATAAGTAACCACTGTCACCAATGATCTTTATAGTTATCTTTAGTTGGGATTCTTCCCACTGACCACACATATAAGGAGCACTCTTCCCACTGACCACACATAAAAGGAGCACTCTTCCCATTGAGCAAACATATAAGGAGCATTCTTCCCACTGACCACATATATAAGGAGCACTCTTCCCAGTGACCACACATATAAGGAGCACTCTTTCCACTGACCACACATATAAGGAGCACTCTTCTCACTGACCACACATATAAGGAGCACTCTTCCCACTGACCACACATATAAGGCGTACTCTTCCCACTGACCACACATATATAAGGAACACTCTTCCCACTGACCACACATAAAAGGAGCACTCTTCCCACTGACCACACATATATAAGGAGCACTCTTCCCACTGACCACACATAAAAGGAGCACTCTTCCCACTGACCACACATAAAAGGAGCATTCTTCCCACTGACCACACATTGTAACATGTGTGGTGACCCTAAAGTGAAGCTGTTTCAATCAGCAACCAATCAGATTGTCGGTTCATCCCAGAAATACTGTGTGTGGAATCTTCTGCGTTGCCCCATCCTGGTGTTCCACTATAATCAGTCAAAATGTAGAAATCTCTTAAAGCTGAACTCCAGGCAGATGTAAAGGATACAAATATTGCAGCTCTGTATTTAGGAATACATCATGGATTCTGAAGACAGAGGACATCTGATAGTAGAAGAAAAGTACTTTGGGGAACATTTCTGGATTGAAGGGGAATATTGCAGGAAAAGCTGGATTTATTATTTGATCTTTTAATGGATTATTACTTTTTACCTTGATACTCAAGTTCTACTGTAAAATAACAGTCTATAGTGTTCCTCCCCATTAGTCCTGATAATATGTATGGGGCTCATTTGATACAGCTAATGCAAATAATGTCAGCACACCTAATTCGTATCTTATTCAGTGGCGTAACAATCGCCATAGTGACCCACATGGCTGCTATGGGGTAGTAATGGGGGCACTTGTTCACCAGGGATTTCCTCTCACTTCCTGTTGTTGCTATCAGATAGGAAGTGAGGGGAAATCTTCCCAATGGGACACAACTGTCAAAAATAAAAAGGCTGGCAAAGGCTATGACCCTCTCTTACTCTATGCTAAACTAAAAAAAGTGTTGGCTTCAGTTCTACTTTAAGCTCTTGGTTACACTATAAAACATACACATCCTCTGATCGATCACAATAAACACATTTTACATAGGATTATACAGCATGGATGATGTGGCCTGTTTACCAAATGAGTCACTCTGCCTTGTGTTAAAAAAATGGGAAATCTAGCTGAACCTGATTGGCTGTGTCAAGTCAGCCTGACATGTTTAGTAAATCAGGCCCTATGCAGGAGTGATCTCGTTAGCCCACATTCCAAACTAATGTGACGTCACAACTTACTACATTGTTTTCCTGCTCCTGGTCAGTGAATTGTATTCGCTGTCTCCATAAATAATATTTGAAGCCCAGGTATGAATGTGATTTATACAACATATAAAACCCTAGGCTGTGGGATGCACACTGATAGATATACATGCATATAAAGCGTTCCAGGCTGTTTTAAAGTCATTATAGTGAAGAATGTATATTATATCTCTGGCACAAATTATCCCAATCACCCAAATGAGGCTTTCTATGAGGAGCGCATGATAGAACATCTGGCACCTCTTTAATAAGCTGCCCATTTAAACTCTTGTCCAATCAGCGCGCACCGTTGGCGGACACGCCTCTTTTGCTGTCAGAGCCGAAGCCCGGGGCAGAGCCCCTTGGCTGTGCGCCGTGACGTCATGCAGCGTGCGTGGGACTGTCCAGTCTCCAGTGCGGGCGCCAGTCCAGGGAGCTGTGAGCAGGATCCTGCAGCTCTGGCTCCCTGTCCTATCTCCAGCATCAGACTGCAGCTGTATGGTGGATCTCCTCGTCCCTTATCCCTTCCTGGCGGCTATGGGGGACCATCCCAAAAGTAAGTTCATCTCCGGCAAGCTTGTCTGGAACTTTTATTCCTCCTGATCAGCAGAATAATGGTGGAGCGCGGAGGTACCCACCTTCCCAAATCCACTTACCTGTCATAGACCACAGCTCATCTCCGCCTTGTCCATGCACAGTGTTCGTGCACTTTACAACGACTTGTTACAGATCGCACAGAGATGAATGTGAGCTCTGCGGGCTCCGCGTCTAAATCTCATAGCAGCACCCAGACCATTGCAATGCAGCTCTGCATCTCATCTCATCTACATTGTAATATATGGAGGAGCCGTGTGGGCATTGGAATGTGTGTGTGAGGACATCATTTACACTATATTACATGTACACTGATAGATGGGGGTACTTTTATACATGTGTGACCATCATTTACACTATATTACATGTACATTGAAATATGGGGGTGGTTTACACATGTGTGGGCATCATTTACATTGTAATACATGTGTGGACATCATTTACACGATTACATTATAATACATGTACACTGAAATATGGGAGTACTTTATTATAACATTTTAATGCATGTGTGCTCATCATTTACATTGTAATATACAGTATATGTACCGTATATATAACATTTGAATATATGGGTGCCCCATGGTTAGATTGCAATATGAGTACTTTATTATAACGTTTTTAATATATATATAT